CACGGAGGAGATTGTAATCACTGCAATGAAACGATGGTGTAAAGCTGATGTTCTCCCATGTAAACGATCACTCAGTTCACAATAAAAACTTACAAAATAAAATTAGTCGGCATGAGTAAACATTTTACAAAGTAAAATTAGTCAGCATGTGCCTGTGGACAGGAGTGTGGCTGGCAGAATATGCCCTTAGGACATTTAAACAAACATATATTTTCTGTTTTGTATGTGTACATCAGTTATTTCTGCTTTGTTCATTTGTGAAATATGAGACGTAAAAAGGAAGGCCCAGGGAGGAAGTAGGACGACCATTGTTGCAGGGAGGGGACTGTAATTATTGAGATAAAACAAGGCACAAAGTTTGCTGAATGTAGAGCTGATGATCTCGTCTGTTAACCTTCACTCAATTCACAATAAAACGTTTAAATTAAAAAAAAAAAAAAAAAAGCGGATACAGTGGGCCTACTTAGCCCACAGCACATAGTTTGCCAATGGCTGGTTTAAAACAAAAAACTTAGTGGGATTGCACACAAATCCTTGGGAGTTAAGGGGTGGGGAGGGAATAGCTGCAAAATAGAAATAAGAGAAGAATCTCAGAACAAGATAATATTTGTCTATTATCTGTACCAAACATAATTTAGTGGATGAGACATAAGATTGTTTCTGAGGTCAGGAACAAAACACAAAACATGGTGCCTATCACTGCTTCAAGAAGCCCTGAGAGGTGGACTACTAACCGCAAGATCAGCAGTTCAAATCTGCCAGCCACTCCACAGGAGAAAGATGAGACTTTCTGCTTCCATAAAGATCTACAGCTTCAGAAACCCTATACTGGGTCACTATGAGTCTGAACCAACTCAACGACACACAACCGCCACAACCATTACCTTTTGTTCAATAACATACTGGCAGTGCCTATCAGAATGGAAAAGGAGTTCTTCCACGTTATTTGATCATTTTCTTAAAAAACAAAGAGGCTAAACTGAAATATGAATAAAAATTTTTAAAAAGAAAGAATTTAGAAGATGACCATGTCTTTGGTCAGGCGCACTTTAGTCCTAACACAATTCATCCTTTGATTTCTTGATGGCTGTTTCCACGAGTTTTGATGGTGGATCCAAATGAAATGAAGTCTTTGACAACTTCAATCTTTGCTCCACTTGTCATGATGTTATTTATTGGTCCAGTGATGAGGATTTTTGTTTTCTTTACATTAAGGTGCAATCCATAGTCTTTAATCTTCATCAGTAAGTAGTTTAAACCCTCTTCACTTTCAGCAAGCAAGGTTATATAATCTGCATATCACAGGTTTTTAATGAGTCTTCCTCCAATCCTGATCCCAAATTCTTCTTCATATAATCCAGCTTCTCAGATTACTCTCTCAACATACAGATTGAATAAGTATGTAAAAGAATACAAACCTGGCACACAGCTTTCCTGATTTTAAACCATTCAGTGTTCCCTAGTTCTGTTCAAATAATGGCTTCTTGGTC